AAAAAAAAAAAAAAAAAACTAGAAACAGATGCTCACGGAATTATTGCAGGCAACTGATTTAATCCATTTACAGCTTGCTAGGACACAGCAACTGGCTGGGTATCAGTACCCAAAGTGCATTGCTGTTATAATTATGAGTATTCCTCCCCAATGAATCCAACGGATCTATTTGGATGCCTTTTTTTGACACAGAGCTGGTATCATTCAGCCTCACCCAATTAATCCGAAACAGATGTTTGTTTTTTCTCTTCTTGGGTAACCTTGTCTGAATTCTCACTATCCAAAATCAAGAACTGAAAGTACTCACGAGGCCAGGGAGATGCAGAGAAAATGGCTCACAAAGCAAGCCTGACAATGAGAGTCTGGATTCCCAGAACTCCTGCAAGAGCCAGATACAATGTCTCAGGGCTGTAATCGCGCAGCACTCCCGCTGGGGCAAGATGGGAGGCAAAGACAAGAGCACCCCTGAAGTGGGAGTTAGCCTGTGATCCACAGCTCCCCTGAAGCACGTGGGCCAGCTAGCCTGTGGTCCACAGCTCCCCTGAAGCACGTGGGCCAGCTAGCCTGTGGTCCACAGCTCCCCTGAAGCACGTGGGCCAGCTAGCCTGTGGTCCACAGCTCCCCTGAAGCACGTGGGCCAGCTAGCCTGTGGTCCACAGCCCCGTGGCAAAGGAGCCACCCTATCTCAAACAAATGAGGTGAGGACAACACCTGGAGAAGGCCTTCGACATCCATGTATCAGTCCTCACACACGAGGACACACACACACACACACACAAATGATACCAGCAGGCTACCCCAGTGGGTACAAAGGTGCTTGCCATCAAGCTTGAGGACTGAGTTCAGTGTCTAGAACTCAACATGGTGCAAGAAGCTAGCAGACTCCTAAAGGTTGGCCCCAACCCCGGCCCCCGCCCCAAAAGCATCCCTGACTTCCACATATGAAATAAATGTAAACAAATATTTAAAATTGTCTACAAAGAATTAAACATATTCAGATGCACTTGAGATACAGAGAGCTGGTATCTCAGCCTCTAAATTCTCCCTTCTTGCTAAAAGCAGCCATCTTTGAAACAGGCTCCTCTGTGTGTCCCCTCCCCCATTCTCTACTGCATCATTAAAAAATGCAAGAACTGAGATAGATGTGATGTATGCCTGTAATACCAGCACCAGGGAGGATGAGACGGGAGAATCAGGAGTTCCAAGCCAGGTTGGGTTACACAGTGAAATAGTGTCCAAAAAAAAAAAAAAAGCAAGGCCAAACAATGGTGGCACAGACCTTTGATCCCAGCACTCAGGGGGAGGAGGGGGCAGAGGCAGATGGATATCTGTGAGTTCCAGGACAGCCAGGACTGCTTCACAGAGAAACCCTGTCTCGGGGAAAAAAAAATGCAGGAACCAAATACATTTCAGACACATTGATATACTGTCACAACTGTATCTGATCCAAAGAATCTGCCCGCCAGTGATGAAACACAGGGTCTTGGGTATCTGCTTCTGAACAATATTCCTAGCCTCTGAAGATATTTTTCAGTCAGTCATTAAAACGCAAAAACAAATACCTTCAGATAACTTAGTATTTTTCACTGGAAGTCTTCCTCTCTCATGAGTAACCTCTGAGTTGGTAGTAGGTCTATATAAATGTTTTTGAGAAATAAAATGGGTCTGACATTCCTTATTCAAACTCACAATTCTGAGACTAACATATTAGCCTCTTGCTATTTCTCCCTATTCATACTCAGAATCAAGTTTTGCACAGCAGAGAAATCTCATTTTATTGTTACTACTAGATGAGCCTGAATTTTTATTTATTTTCTTCACAACCCCAGGGATAAAACTCAGGGCGTTATCCAGCTATATCCCTAGCATACTTTGTTTGTTTGTTGTTGTTGTTTGCATTCTTGGGACAGGGTCTCACTATGTCGCTCTGGCTCTCCTGGAACTCACTCTGTAGACCAGGCTGGCCTTGAACTCACAGAGATCGGCCTGCCTCTGCCTCCCGAGTGCTGGAATTAAAGGTGTGCACTACCATCACCTGGCTTGTCTTCCAGTTTTTAAAAAGATGTCTTGCCAGGGCCTTCACAGGTCTGCACCAGGTCCTCTGCATATATAGTACAGCTTTCAGTTTAGAGTTTTGTCTTGTTTTGTTTTTGAGACAGGGTTTCTCTGTATAGTCCTGGAATTCACTGTGTACCCCAGGCTGGCCTCGAACTCAGAAATCCACCTGCTTCTGCCTCCCAAGTGCTGGGATTAAAGGCATGCGCCACCACTGCCAGGTTTCAATTTAGTTTTGTTTTTTTTAAAGATTTATTTATTATGTACACAGAAGAGGGAGCCAGATCTCATTATAGATGGTTGTGAGCCACCATGTGGTTACCGGGAATTGAACTCAGGACCTCTGGAAGAGCAGTCTGTGCTCTTAACCTCTGAGCCATCTCTCCAGCCCCCAATTTAGTATTTTTATGGGACTCCTGAGTGTGTGAATGAGTGGGTCTCTGGTTCTTGTGCCTTCTCTTAGGGTTCTTTTCCTTCTGTGGTTTGCCTTGTCCAACTTCAATGTGACGATTTTTGTTTTATCTTATTATATTTTATTATTTTATTTTGTTAGAAAATATAAAAGTATCCTGAAAAAAAAAAGAGATGTGGCTTGCCAGGCATGGTGGCGCACGCCTTTAATCCCAGCACTCGGGAGGCAGAAGCAGGTGGATCTCTGTGAGTTCCAGGCCAGCCTGGGCTACAGAGTGAGTTCCAGGTCAGCTAGGACTACATATCAAGACCCTGCCTGAAAATTAAATAATAAATAAATAAATAAACAAACAAATAAATAACTAACTAACTGATGGGTATTCTCTGGGCTGACCAGATACTCCTGGGCTCAAGTGAACCTCCCACATTTGCTTCTTGAGTAGCTGGAGAGACAGGGTTATGGCACTACCAAGCTAAATGAGCCTGATTCTAACATCCAGCCACAGTCACTGCCTCTGCCCCTACACACAGCACACTCACACAGAGACCCTTATGGATGGGATGGGTTAGCACCAAAATGTCTATTGTTAACTTCATGAGAGGAAAAAAGAAATCCCTTCCCTCATCCCACCCCTACCGAGTCCTAAAGCCCCTGACCTAGAAGAGTTTTCTTGTTTTGTTGGTCCCAAAAAGCAGGGATCATACCCACTAGGATCAAAAATCAGGTGAAGGAGATAACATGACTTCAAAAATTCACACACACCCCGTGTCTCTTTTTTTTTTTTTTTTTTTTTTTTTTTGGTTTTTGAGACAGGGTTTCTCTGTGTAGTTTTGCGCCTTTTCCTGGAACTCACTTGGTAGCCCAGGCTGGCCTCGAACTCACAGAGCTCCGCCTGGCTCTGCCTCCCGAGTGCTGGGATTAAAGGCGTGCGCCACCACCGTGTCTCTTAACCTAGTATCTTTTCAGCCTCCATACCTCCCTCACCCAACATGGGACGGCCCCCAATCTAGAAAGACTGGAAACATGATCCAGACCTCTCAGACTCCCAGAGAGCATCAATGAATAATTTAGGGTGTTCTTTCACATTTCGGGAGAGCGGGCTGTGGAGGAACATTTCCATGCACTCCTAGGGCAGTGAGAGAAAGGCTAGCTCTAGGTGGAGCTCACTAGCATGGAGATGGGGCTGGGAAAAGCCCATACAAAAACCCCACCTGCCACAAGGAGCTTACGTGGCTACTGGTTTCTGTTAAAAGCAGTATAAAGAACATACTTTAGAAGCCCTGGGAACAACAGAGCTCTCAAGTTCTGAGCCAAGGTATAATGAGACCCAGAGCACAAAAGGGATGGGAAACGAGTCTTAGGAAGGAGGAAGGACTGAATAAGTTGGAAGGTTACAATAACAGGTAAGACAGGAGGCCTGGTTTGGGGGATAGTATGGGAGGTTAGGACAAGAATGAGTGCATGGTATAAAACAGAAAGTCACTATAGGATGGGTGGAGATCAAGAGGCAGAGCAGGGGCCAGGTATGGTGGGGCACATCTATAATCCCAGCACTCTGGAAGTGCAGACAGAATGATTATTACAAGTTCCACACCAGCCTAGGCTACATAGTAAGGCCCTGTCTTAAAAAGATAAAGGCTGGGCATGGTGGTGGTATATGCCTATAATCCCAGCACCCCAGAGGCGGAGGCAAGAGGAGCATATCACATGTTTGAGGCCATCCTGGACTACATAGCAAGTTCCAGGACACTCAAGGCTACATAGACAAATCCTGTCTCAAAAGAACAGAGCCGAGACAAGATGCTGGATAGAAGACTGAGGTTCAGAAGACGAGAAAAAGTCCAAGGAGACAAACAACAGTATAGAACAATAGCCAGAAGGCATGACTGGGATAAGCCAAGGCAGTGATGAAGGGAGGGAAAGGGGCAGGTTCCGGTGGAGGTCAGGAACAAGAAAAGACCAGGGCAGAATGAAGAGAGGGATGAGGTGGTGGTGGGAGAGAAACAGGGAAAAACGGATGGAGCTCCGGAGTGGGAGTGGGGGCACAGTACAGGACGGCACAGAAGTCAGAGGTCAGCAATCAGGATAGAACTGGAACAAATTAGGGTTAGAGGGTCAGAACATTTGACTGGAAGGAATTCAGAGACTGGATAAGCATTTAGAGAACAGCGTGGTCAAGCATCAGATCAGAACCCAGAGTTAGGGCTTCAGAGTTAGGATAGGGTCAAACAGGGACCTGGACCAAAGACAAACCTGGACAGGGCTGGGGAACAAAACTGGGCTTGGCGGACAAAGAAGGGGTTCAAGATCACATCACGTCAAAATATAGTTAGGTCAGGGGTAGGACTAAAGGCTCTGGGCCACGGACTTCGGGGTTTAAAAAGGATGTCGACAGATCAGACGGGGGTCAGAGGTGGGAGCATAGGGTCAGAGACTGTAAGTGCGCGCGCAGGTCCAGCCTTGTGGATGTTTCGGGGCCTTGTCCCGCCCTGTCCCCACCCTTCTTCTTCTCCTGGCAGCAACGGTTACTCACCAAGGGTCCTCGCACCGCCGTGCAGGTGGGGTCGGGAGAGGCCGACAGGCAGCTAGTGGGCGCGCCTTCCCTCGCAGCGCCCCGCTCGTCCCTGGGAGCGCGCCTCCTCGCTTCTGCTCCCTACCTCTGGGCCGCGTTCGACCGCACGCACTGCCGTTAGCCTTCGGGGGCAGATGGGGGACCCCCAGATGGTGGGAGAGGTGCGCCGGCCCCGCCGTGGGCGGCGGCCCCGCGCCCCTCACCTTTAACTCAGGGCGTCCGTTGCTGGCTGCACAGCCACCTCCGCCGCTGAGCGCGAACCTAGGGGGCTGGAGAACGAGGGGGGCGGGGCGCGGGACCACAGCAGCGGCAGACACCAAGTGCGCAGGCGCCAGCTTGGGTCTTCGATTTTTCCTGCTTTGGGAGCGCCAGGAATGAAGAAGCGGGGAGCGTGTGCGCACGCGCCTTTTTGGGCGGTGGAGCCCTAAGCCACGCCCCCTAGGTGAGCCGACCGGAGCCCCTGACTCCAAGTCACTCTTGCCCCAAGACAGTATCCCAAATGCTATCTATAAACCTTTATCACGCCTCTAAAGTACCCCCAACGACTCCTTTTACCATCTCCTAGATGCTCCCCCAAACGACCTTCCATCATCCTCCAAATTATATCCCCAAAGTATTGTCTTTGATCCCAAGCAGTACCTCCAGGCCATTCTCTGCTGTCATTGACCTGCACCAACACACAACTCTATTGATCGAGTATGCAGAAGTCATTTCTTGGCCCAAGGCTAGACCCGCAAGTTACGCTCCATGGATGTCAAAATTACATGCACCGATTTTTTCATAAGCACATCCTTGGAGTGTGCACTTCAAGCTACACTCCAGCAGCCTCCAAATCAGTCTTTACATCTGAGTTGCACCCCCAACTCACTTCCCATAGTTCCCCCAACTGTTAATCTCAAGCAGTACCTCCAGTCCACCCTTCATCAATACTCAAATCTACACCAATAAACTGCCTTCCATAACCTCCAACTTATTCCTCCTTCACCATCCTCAATTGATCCTTGAAGTCTATAACTTCTGAACAGGATTTGTATTATTTATTCATTCATTTGCAGTTCCAGGAATTTCTGGAACCCAGGGCCTCACACATAATAGCTAAGTCCTCTATCAATGAAATAAATGCCAAACTCCAAATATCATCCCTAAATCCTAAATTCACTGTGCATGGAAAACACCTTCTGTTGACCCTAAACACTCCATGTAATCCCCACACCACCCTCTGTTGGTTCCCAGTGGGCTGTCCAAGAATCTGCAACGCCACCCTAAACATTACCAATTATGTACAATATAGGCTCCATCTGCTCCTCAAATCACTTCCAACTGTCACCTGTATAACTGCAAACCATGATCCATGGACACCCCACCAAAACAAGCCACCTTCCACTAACAGACCATTCTATCTCTACAAAACTTCCTTTGTTGTTTTTTGTTTGTTTCTTTGGGGAGGGGTGAGGTCCCATGAGGCACAAACTGACCCCCAACTCTATGTAGTCAAAGATAATCTTGAACTTTGGATCCTCCTGCCTCCACCTCCTGAGCTATATTCCTAGCCTTTTTCCCCCCTTTTTTTTTCTGGATTTTGAGACAGGGTTTCTCTTGCCTGGATCTCGTTCTGTAGAACAGGCTGGCCTCGAACTCAACAGAGATCTGTCTAGCTCTGCCTCCTGAGTGCTGGGATTGAAGGCATGCGCCACCGCTAAAACCACTGTTTTAGGACAAGGTCTCATTTGCCTAGGCTGTCTCAAACTTGCTATGTGGCCAAGGATAACATTGAACTCCTGATTCCTCTGCCTCTGCCTCCCAAATGTTGGAGTTACAGACATGTACTACTATGACCCACTCCTTTAAAAAAGGAGATAGAGTCTCATTGCCTTCCTCCGGCTGGCCTCAAACTCCTGGGCTTAAGGATTTGTCCTAAGTAGTGGTGAGTATCATATACTGTGCATGACTTTCATGTAAGTTGATAAAGGGAAGGTTAAGGGTGCAGTGGGCCATTGGAGGTAGTTTGGGAGTAAAGATGAGGCTGTGGGAGGGTAGTTTAATAATGATTGAGGATTAACGGAATTGGTTGGAGTATAACTGAGGGTTGATGAGCATGGTTTGGGGTGCTTTTCAGGAACCTGTTTTGAAGTTTGGATTTCAGGGAGCTATTCTGATTTGTAGTTGGAAGCTAATAGTGAGTGATTTGGGGAACAATTAACAGGTCATTGACTAGGCCAATATTCCACAATGAAAAGCACAGAATACTTGTTACATGCTACAATATGTATAAACCTTCAAAACCTATGCTATGGTGAAGTACTCTTGGGAGGCTGAGGCAGAAGCATCACTGAGAGTTCAGGCTAGCCTGGGATACAGTGTGAGACCATGTCTCAAAAAATGATCATCGCCATCACCACCAAAGCCTTATGCTGAGCCAGACATAAAAACATCTGCAGATTGGAGCTGGAGAGATGACTCCATGGTTAAGAACACTTGCTGCCCTTGTAGAGGACCCACATGATGGCCCATAGCCATCTGTATCTCCAATTCTAGGGAAGCTGATGCCCTCTTCTGGCCCCCACAGGCACTGAATGAATAGTACACATACATATGTACACGAAGGGAAAACACATACACATACAATAAAAATAAATATTTTAAAGATCTACATATTACATTTATATAAAATGTCTAGGATAAGGAAAATCTATAGACAGTTGATTTGTGATTGTCTAGCACTGGGACGTTATTGGGATGTCGGAGGCAAGAGGATCAGGAGTTGATTTTAATTTATTTTTTTCTTTTGTTTTTACATGTATGATTGTTTTGCCTGCATGTATGTGCGAGCCCACT